TTTCATAAACATTAACCATTTGTTTGAGTTTTTCATTTTCTTGTGAAATACTGCCTCTCTAGGCCTCCTTTAATCCTCCAGGTAATGAGGTGTTTCAAGCAGCCACTTATTTCCGGTGTGTCTGGAGGCTCATAGCTGTCAGAATATGGATATACTTTTCTACCCCTTTTATAAAAACATGCTTAGGTATGTTACGTAAATCCTCATTCATGAGCCACTGCATGTTATCTCACCTGAAAGCTCAGAAGTTGTCAGAAAGGCTCTAAATTTGGAGACACATTTGTCACGTGTGGGGGCTGACTAAAACGGAGGAGAGGCAGACTGTTTGAGGAGATTCTGTCAGGGTTGAGGCATCCAGTCACGGAGCTCAGAGGGAATTTTTATGTCAGGTTTTCACATGTCACATTACAACAATGGGCAGCAAGAGTCTGATCCTCTGATAATACAGACACAAGACGACTATAAAGGAAGCTTGTCTCTGGGATTTAGACGCATGTGGACAGCCTTTAAATAGTAAACAAACAATGAATGCATTTAAAAGGGATTTCATTAGCATTTCAATATGATCTTTTATGTAAACACATACATTTTTATGCTTTATTTAAAATTGAGGGAAAATATGCGCACTGCAGTTTTTAAGCAAATATCCAATTAGAATACATCCCATTTGCAGCTCGTCTTTTGAATCAGACAGCAGGTCTTTGGCTTGGTGAGAAGACAAGTGTTGCTGCACTCCACATGTGGGCAGCGAGCGAGAGGTAAGTTTGCTCACCTCTCCATCATAATCTGCTGTTCATCAAAGAGATCTATTTTCTGCCCCCTTTGTACCTCTTCACCCAACTGCAAACTCTGACAAAGTGCCCGAGTCTGAACTCTGTAATGATGATTTACGGGTGTTATCCTGAGGATGTTGTTAGATCAGGAGATGTGCCCCCAGTTTCTAATGTGTTTATCTATAATTACAGGGTGTCACGACTTAACCCATTAGCAACAAGAAAGTACCATCTCAGGTCGATATGTTTTTCAGCCGTAGACACACAAGCAATACATCTTCATAAGTTTGGATTTTGAGGCGATTCTGTGGGACAATTGTTCATAATAAATAGAAAATATTTTGGGGTTCTCAACTGATGGGTCAGGACCCAAAAGTGGGTCGCAGAGCTGTTGTCAATGGGTTGTGAATGTAAGCTACGAAAAAGTCTTTGAAGCACTTTGAAAACATGGTTATATTGTTCTGTCTCCTGGTTCAGTCACGTTTTTTAGCGTCCAAGGTCCAAACTGCACTATTTTCAGAAGAAAACAAATCTCATTGGCTAAAAAATAGCAGAAATTTGGGTCGCGGCTTCTCATTAAAGAGGTGGTGGTGGGTCCTGAGGCCCAGGTCCTTGAGAACCAATGCTTTGGAGCACATTTTTGAACGACTAAATTCATGACTCCTCAGATTCTCACACACCTTAGTGAAATCTATCTGTTGTTCAACTCATATTGCTTTGGCACAGCGTGTTTTGCAACAACATTTTCTCAAACTGCCACTGAAAAAGAATTGGGATCTCCTCCTGTTTAATTATAATGCCCTGAGATAAGCAGCAGATGCCAACAAAAGACATCAAAACAGTTATTTCCATGAAGAGAGTCATAATTTCATTATGAGGAGAAAAATCTATACACTGGTTTGGTGATTTCAGTGTGCTTGAATGTGTTTGGCAGAGGAACATGTTTATTTTAAGATCTCTGCTTTGTCATATCTTATTTCAAATCAAGTCAACACGTTTTGCTTTATTACAACATGAGAAAAAAAAAATATTTAGAGAAAACCAGAACCAATTTAACAGCAACCCAAAGCTTCTGCACTAATTCAATTACATGTTATTTGTTTATGATGCACTTTGAGTTTGTGCTCACAGTGTTTACGCTGGAGCTGTCAGCAGGTAGTTAAAACAATATCAGTGATAAAGGGTCACACAATTTTCTTTTCTTTTCTGTAAAAACACAGTAACAGATGTGTTTTACATAATTAACGCTTATTGTGGAAGAAATCAATTAAGAGCAAGATAAACAGAGGGAAAGTGACAAATTATCTTTTCGATGTTTTCCAAAGAGCATTTTTGGTGGTCTTTATTTAACCTTACATTCAGTGTGTGAAAGACCTTAAGAGGTAAAGCTAATGAAAATACTGTCACCTCGAGCTCACACGTAAATAAGATGTCTAAGGTTTCAGACTCATTTCCTGCACTCAGTTCACCACCAAAAGACACCACGGTCACCTTCTCAGAAAATATCAGGCTAACTAATAGACTCATGACAACATTGTCAACTTGGGCTTCATTTTAACCATGGATATCTTTCTGTGGTTAATGTTCCAAAACCTTAATCTTAAAATCAAAATACCTAATTGAATCTGTGTCAAAGGATCTTAAGAGAATTTAAGGATCTTAAGAGCCATAAATTCAACCCAACCTGCTCTCACTGATAACACTCTGCTCATTTCATTTAAAGATAAGAAGCTTTACAGGCCCTCTAAGGAGGGAAAGATATGGCTAATGCAATATTTAAAAAACCCCCCCAAAAAATGTTAAGACTCCACCTAAGGATTATTAACTTTCTATTTCCAACTAATAGCCAAATCAGCTGATATCGACTTTTTTTTTACTCCCATGCAAAACTGAAGACGGACACAGGCCTTATGCAGAAACGCATCCTGCAGGACTCACTGTTCAAAGCCAGAAAAAGCCACAGTGCAACATTGTGTGAACCCCAGGCACCTGAAAACTAATATCTGCAATATTTAGAAACCATGCCTGCTGTGGGATGACGTCCCCCAAGAATTTATACTCAGCCTCTGTGGAGTAAAATATGTTTTCCTTTTTTTTTTTAACCTTTTCATGCAAATTTAACTTTTTTTTTTAACAAGACAGCTGTGCGAATCTGTTACACTTACATGTGAACATTTGTGCTTACAGTAAAGGTCACATAGTATACTCCATTTTCAAACAGTATAAATAAATCTCAGAGCGCCCTAAAACATTTCTGTGAAGTTTCTTGCTAAAAATCCACCCTGATCGTTTATTTTATCATGCCTATAAAGCCCTCTATTTCAGCCCTGCTCGGTACAGGCTGTTTCTGTTAAATGAAAGGGAGCTGTGTGTGACCACGCCCCTCTCTGAAGCAGCTTGGGTGACTCTGACTTTTTCTTGCTCAATTTGTTTATGGTGAGAAGGCAAACTCAGAGGGAAGAACAAAAACCTAGCTGCGGGAGTGGGTTACTGCCCTTTGTGATGTAACAAAGGGAAAATCTTCAAACGGCCTGTTTGAGCACACATTTTCTTAAAAGTGGAGCATGCAAAAGACGGAGAGGATAGAGTTTTCTCATAACAGGGGGGGTTTGTAGACAGGCTAGGGACAAATATTAGTGTTTGAAAACAAGTGTATTTAGCATAATATGTGACATTCAAAGTGCTTTACAAACAGATGTTTGAAGGCACATTTTTAAAGGATGTGTTGAGCCAGAAACAGATGTTGAAATTTTAATTATTATAATGAATTATCCTCGACTTGTTAGACCACAGATAAGATGCTTCTTTCAGTAAATGAGGCCCTGAATGATCATTACCGTAAAACATAGGAAGACTAATTTAGCCAGGTTATATCAAGTTACATATCTTCTTTGAGCTCACATAATAACTTTAGTTTTAGAGCCTGGGAAAGATGACACACAATTACCACTCTAGTGGCTTTTTATGACACTGATGAAGCTGTTAGTAAAGGTCTGGAAAAAGCCAGAAGTCAAATCTTACTGTTGGCTCCTTACCGAATGGAGCAAGAAATAAAATTTCGGGGTTGTCAAAAACAAAGAAAATGGGAAAACATTAGGGGGAGAGAAGAAAAAAAAACAGAGTAATGTCACAGTACAAAGCTTGTTATTTTCTTGCACAAAGACATTTATGAAAACACGTCTGTTCTCCGAGAGGTGATAATATGCTCTCGCAAGACGTTCAACAAGAGCAGCACACATGTGGCTCTGGTTCATGCTTAGTGTATGTCATGTGAGAGTATAGCGGTTCAAGAGCTGCTTTTATCTGCCAACAAAGAGACAACTCCAGACACAGATACAGCAGCAGCAGCACATAACACATATTCACCTACGAGGGATTCTGTTTAAAGCGTATGTGTCCTTGATGGCAGCTCCATAAATAATTGCTTCACCACTGGATTAATGGTGAAGACAGCCTCCCTTCCACAAGTCATTATTTACAGTTTGAAGGAAATTCCCCTGAATATCTGTGACCAACCACAAATTCCTGTGAGGGATATCAGTGCTACGCCTGTTCGCCAGTTTATCATATCATCTATTGTATGGATGCTGAATCCGTGTTCACAGCAGCCCAGGGTGTTTTCGGCTGTTCATCAGAGAGGCTGTTTTCCCTATTGAGATAAGAAATTAAATCTGCAGGAGCAGAGGATGCTGGGTTTGCTGCAGGGTGGCGAGGCAGCGGCTCTGATAATGGAGCCGACTCCCATTGCGCAGGCTATGAGGCAAACAGCCGTGGCGCCTGCCCAACCCTGCCCATGTGGCTAACAGTGTCACTTTGCACAGTCTCTCTCTCTCTCTCTCTCGCTGTATATGAACTTGTGTTTTAATCTGCATTTGACAAAGTCGGGAGGGAAGAAAGAGATTCAGTGTTTTTTTGCACTCCTCTGGGTCTTAATTTGAGTGAAAATATGCGGGAGAGAAAAAAAGATAAAAGTGGGTGAAACTGTGGGATTTGCCCTTGTATTGAATGTAGTGAGGAGTGTGCATGCATGGTGGCTCAAACACACAGAACCATGTGGAATAAAAAATGACTGATCGATGGAGTCAGAGGACAGAAACACCATTTTCTCGTCCCCCCTCTTCTCCTTCGCCTCATCACTTTCCGCTCATGCTCACAGCCTGGATGGGTTATGTCGGGTAGTATATTATGTAAATGTGAAGAGGGTTTAATTTCAATTTGGGAACTCACCAGAATGTCGTGTCGTTTTGGAGGCTCCTCACAGGTTTCACTTCAAAGCAGTCTGCAGAGAGAAATAAACGGTCACACCTTAATGTGCAAGCACAAATAACATTGGGGGCCATACGGCACCAGTTGTAATAGTGTCAAAATCATAAAAAGGTTCAATTTATAGTCCAATCTTTGATTCAGCCAAGACTCAATACAAATGATTTGATATTTCTGCAGCAGTGGAACAATCCCTTTATGCCCAAAGCCCCAGTGCTGCGGAAAATTTAAAACAGGGGAAATTCCAGCTAAATATTTTACCTGCCTACTTCTTCATGATTTCCTGCTTCATACCCAGAGCTTTTATGTGTGTAATAACTAACCTGTAGCGTACAAGGTAACAGTCATTTTGTCATCTATGTTTTTCTCTTCAGCATTGAATTACGGCTTGAATGAATCCTGACTGCTGAACATGTGCACTCCTGTCACTTAACACTAAATAATGAGCTGTTGTCCTTGTATTACATCAGTTCCTTAAATCAAAATGGCTTTATTTCTGTATATTTATAAAACCATTTCGAGCATGGTGTAAGAAAGCCTGTGATTAGGAGTTCAACGAAATGTCATAAATGTGTAAATTACTAACATAGAGCTGCTAATAACCCTAACATAATACATTTTTGTAAGCTATTAATTATCAGCTGGAATGCCTTAAGTGTTACGTGGTTACAACTGTAGTTTCTTATTTAAACTTAAAACTACCTTTTTTCTTATTATATTTATTAACTGTACATATTGTTTTTAATTCTTCTGCTATTTCTTGCTGGTTGTACTCCTCTTTGTTGAGCTGTTGTAACAACCACATTTAGTAATTTAGTAAGTAAGAAATGCCATCAAAGCTTTAGGCTATATTACAGCAGAACAAAAACCTAGTTAAAACCATTCATTACCCTGTTTGTTCGTTTTTGTACAGGCATAAGAAAAAAACACCCTCCAATCATTAAATGCTCACTATCACTCATCCTTTAAGATGTTTTTTAGCAGACAGAAAAGTCAACAAGTTTATTCCAGTGACTGACTTCAGAAAATCATGCTGCACTTATCTGCATTTATAGATTTCCCACATCTTTATCTGGCAATTTTACCAGCTGACATCTCATAAATACAGTGCAAAAACTTCAACATCAGAGCTAGTGCGAGTTGAAAGCGTCTCATGGTACAGTGGTTTCAAGCACACATTGATTTAAGTGGCGTTTTTTTTTTTCCATACGCACCAAAGTAAAGTGCAGGAAAAGGATGAACATAAAAAAAAAGAAGAAGTTGGAATAGACACAAACAAAGTGACCTGAAGTCATTGAAACTGCTGCAGCACTGAATATACGTTTAAGCAATCAAGGGGAAAACAATCCCTGCTCCTGCTCCCCATTGCACAACTAAAGGTGCACATGGAGCAATCACAGTTAATTGAAGCTTTTGTAGATGATTAAGAAGGAAAAAAAAACTCCCCCCCCTTTTCTTGGGAATACGACAACAGAGGAATCACTCCCACTCTCCTCTCTGTCAGATTTAATTGCCAAAGCAACAATCTTGATTAAGATCTCAACAGTGCTTTTTTTTTTTTATCAGCCCCAGTCAAAGACAACACCGGGTGTTTGTCCAAGCAAGACATATTTACCCACCTGAACTCGGACTGTAAACAAGGTAGGTCTTTAAAAAAAAAAGACCCTGACATTGAGAGCAACCTTCAAAGGTTGCTCCGAGGTTATTTATTACAGCCAACTAAGACATGCCTCTCCATCTTCTTTAGTGTCATGCTTGTGGCTCACTCCCTCCAGCCCTTAAGTGAGCTCCCTTAACATGCAGGGGGGGGGATATTTCAAGCTAAATGTAAAAACCTCAGGAATTAAAGACGAATTGTTTTCAAGTTTTTGTTACAACTTAAATCCTTTTCTTTCTAAATGCCATAGCGTGTAAAGGCCGACGCTCTGACTGACCCAGGACAGTGATGTGAGAAGTACAATTTCACGCATGTCGCACTCCAACGAAACGTCCATCTTGTGTTCATGTTCCCTGAAGCGTCAAACACCCAAGAAATTGATTAAAACACACAGCACATACACACATCTCACGCTGCACCTATCACCAGAGCAATATTCATTCCGCTTTAGCTGTAATCTCACATATATAGTTACTGCATGCTAACTGCCCCTTCATCTATTCATCAAACTCCCACGCACAAACATCAAACACAGACTTCAATTCAGTGACACAGCAATTAGGCTTGTGAGAGGATTTTCTCCTCCACATTCGAGTTATTGTTGTTACTCTTCTAATTAAAACACAGCAGTAGTGGGATGAGCAATTTGAAGAGGAAGAGAGGGAGAGGCTGCACACTCGACAACAAAAGCAGTTTAGCTTCAAAATATCCTTCAAAGATCAAAAGTCATTAAGCGCATCCTCTGCTCCCAGTAATATCTTCATATGTACAAATGTTAGAGGATAATTGAACACAGGATTTTTTTGTTTTGACAGCCACACTGGTATGGATCAAATGTACAAATGTAACTAATGATTCTTATGGTCGATTATTCTACCACTGTATTGTCCCAATTGTTAGATTTGATGTTTTGGCTGGAAAAATGTAAAAACAAATAATAATAATATACCAAAAATCAGAAATAATATCCAGAGCAATAAGTCAAATGTTCAAATGGCTTTTTTTATTTAATATGTTTTCCCAAAAAATGAATTTACTCTGTCATATATAACAGGTGGCTGGTGGTTATGTTGAACGATCCATGTATAGAGGCTCCTTTGTTGCAATGTCATCCCCCAATCTGTATGCCCCACATTTCCTTTTTCTCCCCAGCTACCTTATCTAAAAAAGGCAAAAATGGCCCAAAAAAATATGTTTAAAAAAAACATATACTTACATTTGAAATACATGAGCCACTAAGAAATGTTTCATGCACTATTCAATCTGTTGGGACTCTCTAAAACCTGACAGGACTTTTCTCATATCTTAGTATTCTTTACAAAAAAAAACCCATTTCATATAATATTTAGTGATAAATAGTATTGAAAGTCAGGCTTATTCTACTGCTCACAGTTACCACATGAGATAAAAGACAACACTTGCTGACTCAGACCTTCAAATGACAGGTAGCAGTGTAAGCAGTAATTATCCTAAATCCACTAGTTAGTAATGACTTGTTAAAGTGTAACATCCTGTTCCATCTGGATGAAGCGAGTTCAGAGCTGAGAGAATCTTAATGGCGTGTCAGAGAGAGGGCGATTTATTTCATCAACACTAAATCAGAGGGAAAGGGAGCAAAGACACGATTCTATGTGATCGCTTCAGATCAGGATGCAGAAGAAAAGACCTTCAATTGAAAAAGAAAAATACAGACAGCTCCAGCTGCAGAGGTTGATGATGCAACAGGTAGGTTGTTTTTGGTGTGATGATTAAACAAGACAGGCTATCTTACTTCACAGAAGTGGTGGAAAAAAGGACCCAGATTAGAGATACAGCGTCAAAAGTTAAAGTCCTGCATTCAAAACATATCTGATTGTAAAATTGGAATAGCTAAAGGAAATGCTCTTACCATTAAACAATGGCAGGTAAACAGGGAAGCCTAATAATGATGACATCAAAATGATGATGAAGATGATGGCGATAAGGATGATGATGATGACGATGATGATGACGACGAATAATAATAGTTATATAATTTTAATTTGTCAGAGCACTGTGCTAGATTTAGTCCGCTCGGCTTTTCTAATTCACATTATGGAAGAGATGTGGTAAAGGAACGCTACGGCCATCCTTTCCATCACACTTTCAGACTGATCGAGAAATAATACCTCTCATGCCTTTAATTATTTCAAATAAAGAAAATGGCATCATTCCTACTTTTTTTTTTCCAAGAAGGACCCCACTAAAACAGAATTGTTGCCCTGCATGTGGATGTTTTGTCTAGAATAAAGTGACAACATATGTGACGATTTGAGCTTTCAGTTCACTTATAAATTGAAGCGTCAACAAAGTTAGTGAGGCATTCAAATTGCACACACTTATACAAATACAGGTTTTTGTAAGTACAGTGTATGATGATGGTCAAATATATGATGCTGATTAATTAGATACTCATTCTGCAGGTGTCAGGAGTGCGGGGTGGGGTTTCATTTTTTCTCTCTCTTTAAACTCAGCGTGGCACCCTCGTCGCCCTTCCTATGTCGGCCATCCTCAAGGACAAACGGTTATTTAGTCAGTGTTTCTCCACCTCAGAGCTCTGGTACACTTGCAGTTGCAGGGCGAGCCTGTAAGCCTAGATTATGTCTCAACACAGTGTCTAAATGGAGCTTTTATTCCCCTTGTTTTTCCTCTGACTCTGCAGTGTTTTTGCAGATGGGCATTCAGTAGAAACTAAACAGGTTTCACAGTGAGGGATGAAACATGCCAGTGTCTGTATTCTGCAGTACCTGTTAGTCTTTGGTGACCAGTGATGCCCATGGAAAACATTATCGCCTCTCAGTCTAGACACCCTCTAGAATTGTTAATGAAGAGTGAAAAGGAACCTGCTACAGGGCCTCTCTGTAGCCGCGTCTAAGCCATGTGTGAAAATGCTAGGCACACAGCACATCCATATTTCTCTGCTTGACTTGCCACAAGGCTAAAATAAACATTTTAAGGCCGGGACCCACACTGCTATTATAAAACCTCTTATAAAAATCAAATAAAGGATCACATATTTGATAGTGAACTCTACCAGTGGGATGAGATAGTAGCAAAAGGGGAGGATATTGAGTCTGAGTAAGGCTATAGTGGTCAGTCTGCCGGTTAAATCAACCTCTTTGAGAGCAATATGAGAGGAATATAAAACAAGAAGTGACACTGTGCAGGAAGAAAAGACGCACACAAAAAAAGCCCTATTCACTGCATGCATAACTGAAAGCTTTTTAAGCATGTTGTCAATTTTTATCAGATTCAAAACAGCCTTCAATGCTGCCTCCACTGAGTGCAATTTAGCAGACAACATATGCCTCTCTTACACTGCCCACACAGTTGGCACACTG